CTTTAGGATTTCTTGCCCGGATGAGTCGGCGTTTTCCACACGAAGCATCAAAGCTTGCACCTCTTCGACAGCTAACCCAACTTGTGCAGTTAAATTGGAGTATGTCTGGGTCAGATTCTTGGCTCTTGAGATTACTTCTTGTGCCTGCCTGCTCGCCTGCATCGCCGCTCTTTCAATCTGACTGACCGTGACTGTATTGTTGGGATCCAGCAACATTACCTGTGATATGGTCTCATTGGCTTGTAACAAGACAGTCGACGCGTTAACAAACAGCTCATAAGCTGTGGAATTCATGGCTTCACCATAGGCTTGTATCACATCAACGCGCATTTTCAGTTCATCAAGGAAACTTTCAAGATCGCTTTGCTCATTTACTGTATTTTCAGCCACCGTATTAGCTTCTGCAATCACGGAGTCAGCGTTATTCACTTTACCTTGGATGTTGTAGGCCGTTTCATTTTGACGTGTTGCAGCCGCCGTGAAATTATCCGCCAGCCCACTGAACCTTGGTACCAGATTGCTGAGATAATCGCTTACAGTTTCAACCTCGAGGACAGCAGGATCGATCGACATGTTGAGAAGATTATTGCTGTAACGCACTTCATCACGAATCAGCGCAATGAGCTGTCTTATTCTTTCCTTATCCTGTTCCACAGTAGTCAAGTTACTAGACAGTTCGTTCACACCAGGTGTGACCTCTTGCATCAAGACTTCTTCCAGTCGATTCAGAGTCTCATTGAGTTGCTTAATCTGCTCCGTTACATTCTTCTCTATTTCTTGCGACTCTTCTGCATCAGAGACCAAACTACTAACGGTGTCATTAGAATTGGCAAGTCTTTGGGCGAATGAGGCGTCCCCGATATGTCCACTTCGTAGACGATCTATTGTGTTGGCTAGGGCAGCTGAGCTTACTCGAAGCTTTTTCACCTCCACGTAGATAAGGCGGTAACACTCAGGACAGTCTAAGAAATGGAATGAAAACATGTTAATAAAATTTAAAGTTGTGCAAGTGTCGTCCTTTGTGAATCACTGGATTTTACTGGCATTGCTTTTTCATTTGTTCAAACTGCAAATAGCTAGAATGTTTTCAAATAGTCCCTTTGGGCTGCAAATTGTTTTGGACCAAAATAAATTTAAAAGGGTACATTTTGGAAACACCGGGCAAATTGTCACTTGACAATCTTCGGAATGCTCGTGCAATTTTTTTTTTGATATGAGAATCATGATCATCATCTGTTCTCTTGATCCATGCATGCGACGCATACATGTAAGGCGTCTTAGATGGAGAAGAACATCGCAAACTCTTTGGATGCATTGGCAAGAATTTCTTAAACAAGGAGGAATCTGGATGTAACCTCTTCCGCACTTACCAACACACCCTCTGCTGGTATTGTATGCGTTCTCGTGGCATCGGTCACACTGCCTGCCACCAATTCTTGGTTTACAGGTGCACTGGCCGGTGGTCTCGTTACAAACGGTACTGTTACCGTACAGCGTGTTGGGAAGGACACATTCACAGTCTAAAGCACAAGAAGACGAAAAAAAAAAAAAGAAACATGAGTTAGGAGACGAATTGCTGGACATCAACGCAAGTAAAACAATGTGATGTTACGCTAATCATTGTTGAGGATGGCAATTTCACCGTAAGTGATTTACGAACAAGTAACCTAAACAAGCAAGAACTAAGGATTTACAATAGTTACTGTATCAACGCACGCCCTGTAATGAGACACTGAAATGCAGTAAAAATTCTCCAACATAAGAATATATAAGCATAAAAAATTTAACATCCACAAGACAAAATGTCTTGCCATTACTTTTGAAGAACGACCTTTTGAACTGGCTTCGTTAGGAATGAAGCAGTCCAATACTGTGTAATTGAAGTTTTAACTTAAAGTACAAGCGACTATTATTTGTATGCTATTTCGTTAGGATGTAAGGCTTTTCCCAACTATAAACCATAATGCAAATATATTATTACCTCGGCAGCCACCAGATGAAGGAGTTAAACCAAAGAATCCTGGTATACACCGTCTACAATCAGTTGTGTTGTCCACACCAGGCTGACACCTCTCACAGTGTTCACCCTCAGATCCCATACGACAGTTGTAGCATGTACCATTCTCAGGAAAGCACTCTTGTGAACGACCAGTGCATGAGCACAGTACACATGAGCTGAGAACATTGGGAGTGTTGTTGAGGTTGGGGGACTGGCGAGTGTATCCTACAAGGGGAAGTATGTTAGGAACATGGTAATTTGCACGTTGTAAAATTGTAAAACTACATGCACAGTAATGTGTAGTGTACATTCAGTAGCCTGCGTAGCAGGCGTATAAAGGGGATGGGGTGGGGAGGAGGAAGAGAATTTGGGGAAAAAAACGGAGGAGTGGGGGGAGGGGAGGGCAAAGGACTTGCGCGTAAACAGCTTCATTTGAATCATGTGGTGCCAGAACGACCAAAGGAAAATAGATTTTCAAATGAAAGTTTGANGATATTGCTTGTTTGACAAGGATGGTTGAGGTACTATGTTAAAATATGCTGTTTCCCCTTTGGTGTTTGTCAGGGTGACATTCCAAGTTGCATTCAAACTGTCCACATCAGCATAAGTCATGTTCATCTCTAACAACTGACCATAAGAATGGAGTTGGTTACCTTCAAAGTTTTCTATTAAAGTCAACTTGATAAAACTGTTGGGTGGAAATGTGATTTCAACAGTGTCACCATCATTCAAACTCTTCATTGTAGTATTTTCAGACTTGTCAACCTTATAAATGATCTCTGGTGAGAAATCAGCTGTTATGTAGGATTTAACAAAGCCTTGAGCTGAAGAGCAAACATCAGATCGACCAAAACAGAAGCATGGGGAGCACCCATCTGGATTGTTTGGGTCACTATTGTACGTTCCATTCTTGCACATCCCACACTTATTTCCTTCAGCGTTGGACTTGCATGTACAGATCCCTGTGTTTAGATGACATTGCAGAGAACTAGAGCCTCCCTCATGGCAGTTACATGGCCTAGAAAGCACATAAAAGGATGACTTATCAATACAAAGACTGATTCTGATCTGTCTTCGTTTTATTGTTTAGAAGCAACCATTTGAAATGAGAGTGTTGTTTTAACAAAGAAGAAGCACCTAAGTGAGGAGTGATGTTCATTTTCATCGTCAATACTTACTGGCATCCCTCTGATGTAAAATTGAAGAAGTTTTCACGACACATGTCACATTTAGTACCAGTGGTGCTGTTTTTACAAGGACAGACTCCATTCCTGTCACATTGAAGATCTGCAGAGCCACTTGCATTGCAGTTGCACTCAACGCATCCCTGTCCTGTGTGAAAACCATAGTAGTTTGTATCACATCTGCTGCAGGTTCTTGTCACAACACCAGACCTACATGGACACTGTCCAGTCACAGGATCACAAACCAGATCTGAGGATCCCAGCTCACTGCAGTTACAAGCTGAAAAGAGGAAAACCCACACAGATGTTATTGACAGTAGATAGATATATTGATTCAACTGAGGCCTCAAGCTCAAGGCCTCAATGAATCAATATATCTTTCTCACTCCAAAATGCTACTGAAAGACAACTTTAAACGTCATTGACAGTGTTTCGACAAGTTCATCCATGCAAATATATGGTGACTTTTTGAGGGTGAGGGTAGGTTAAGCCATCTTTTACACATGTGGTCATGTAACCTTTCTTCTATCCTGCAACCCAGCTATTACTCTGGGGTACAGTGCAAATGGTGGTCACTCATATTTGTACACACATGTGAACAAGGATAACCACTGTTAAATAAATTCATCCATACCCACACACTGAAATGGGGTGCCTTGAAGTCCCTAATGACAGCAGTTAAAGAACCATTTAACTACACATAAAGTACCTGTACATCCACTATCAGTGAAGTTGAAGAAGCCTGGTAGGCAACGATCACATGACTGTCCTGTTACTCCTGGCTTGCAATGACACTGACCTCCAAGCTGTTGACAAGTTGTGCCATTCTCAGTTCCTGTACTGTTACATGAACAAGCTGCAAGAATTAAATGTAGCAACATAAAATACTTGTATGTGTACATGAGTTTTATTTACCCTTTCATTAGAATTTTGAATAGAAATAATACTTACCAATAGCTCCATCAAATACTTCAGCCATGGTGGAGAAAGTGACATTTCTGCAGATGTCAGAGCTATTTTGTGATCCAGCAATGGTGGTAGAATTGCTCCAGCAATCATCGATCTGCTGTAAAGTCATACCATGAACAGAGCTATTATAAATCCTGACTTCTCTCACATTTGGAAGCAAGCCTAATGAATCTATTTGTATCGTTGAGTTTGGGTACATTCCACTGACATATGTCAAGTTCAAATGGTACTCTTGGCTGCTAAGAAATGAAACAGCTTCTTTGGATCTCCAGGCTAACCCAGCTCCGTGGGGTAATTGAGAAATTGTAAAATTATTTGTTGTGTGACACGCTGATGCATTGCATGAACTTATGGAGAGCCTCAGTGTTATGTTGGCGTCTTTGATGCTGGTGTAACGAATGACTACATAGTAGTCACTGAAGCTTGTGGATAGGTTAACAGTGAAAGAAATGAACTGACTGAATCCAATCTTTCCATATCCTCTGCCAGTAAATACTTGGTCTACTCCAGTGAAGTAAGAAGTTGCTTCATAACTTCCCATGGCATCTTCAGCTTCATATTTCAGATGATAAAAAGAGGCAACATAGAACCCCTTACTAACTTCGGTACAACGCTTTCCTTGAATATGGCTTCGACACAAGCAAGTTCCTAAACAAGAGAAAGTAGTGTTCAGTCCACAAACAGTTGCAGAGTTAGCCACTGCTCTTTAACATCGTTTGCCATTACAATTTTATAAATGAAAACTGTACTATGTTTAGCATAATTTCCAAGTTCTTTTTACTTGTGAGCTTTAAACAAAATTAGTAGTCTCAAAAGTGATCAGCTAATAGTAGTGAATAGTGGAACAAAGAGCATTTTGTAATATATTAAACACATATTTGTTGTTTTATTTGGCCAAAAAATGGCAAGTAATACACACATACATGTACATTTCTACCATATATATCCAACAAAATTGATCTGTATATAAAACTAGGACTGTAATATTTTTACATCTCTAAACTACCCATATCACAGCTACAGCCTACTTAATATTGAAGGAAGTGTTCAAGAAGGACCAGTTATATAATTTTAAAAAGACAAAAATTTTTGAAACAAACCATTTATTTTTTCACAGATATCCTCAATGCTTCCTCCATAATCACAGTCACACTGAAGACAGTCCACTTCAACAGATTTAGGAAATGAGTAGAAACCATCTTTGCACTCAGAGCAAGTACGTTGATGAATATTTTCCTTGCAAGGGCATTGGCCTAAATCTTGATTACAGCTTAAACTTCCATTTTTAGTGCCATTTCCATTGCACTTGCATTCTGGAGTAAAATTTTCAAAATCACATGTCAAAACTACAGAACTAGATGNGACTGCTGGCTATTTTCACCAACTGAAAGAGGGCTTATCATCAGCTGAAATTTCTGCAAAACCATAAACTTGGGCAATTCTGAAGGTAAAAAGGTCAGAAAAGCCTAAGCCTGGAAATGAGCTAGGTTAGTCTTTTCTTTGCTAGATCTGTGCTTGATAATTTCAGAGTCAGTCAAATGTGTAAGTACCAACATTCAACTGTTCTAAATATAAATAATACTTTATTTATGTACTGATAGTGTTACAATTGTTTAAATGATTTTTGTAGGGTAATGTTATCAGTTTTTGTTGAAACATTCTGTGTTGTAGTTTCACAAGTAGTGTATTTTGTCATTAATTACTGTACCGAATCTCCCAAATGCGAACAAGCTATATGACAGGTTTCTTAAAATATTATGATTATTGTAATTATGCAAACACCCTCCGTCCAGAGTCACTCACCACGACAATTTCCTATAGGAGGTAATTGAAAGCCCCAGAAAGTGTCTTCACATCCATCACACTGCCGACCTGTCACATTTTGCTTGCATTCACACTGTCCTGTTGTTTGATTGCATGTACCATTGTTTGTGATTCCAAACATGAAGCAGTTACAGGCTGAAATGAACAATGGAATGTTAGCAAGTCTGTAAATGTACCCGCTCACCAGCAGTTATCCTTCAGATAAAATAAAAACCGTAAGATGACGAAATGCCTGACTAGTAAAATTTATGATTCATTTTGGAAGAAAATGCCAACCTATATTGTTTTATGCTATAAAACCCTTAAAATCAATAATACTTTCATGGCCTGCTTACTTTTGGCTATGATTGGTAGGTTCAAACAAATTAATTAATGTTTTAATGAAAACTTGATGTTACAGAAGAAAAGGTGGCTTATTCAATAAAAGAAAGATTGAACAAGCTGTATTTTTAAAGTATAAATATGAAAACAATGCTGCACTAAAAAGGTACTCACGTAGACACACTTCAGGATCATCAAGGGGCTTGCTCATGTTGCGATAGAACTTGACCACGCACTGCTCACAGAACATCCCTGTGGTGTTGTGGTAACAGTTGTCACAGATACCATGGTCTAGACTCTTATTATAATGGCAGCTATCAGCGTGTTTGTAACATTGGCATTCTGAAAAAGAAGGAAAAATAAAGTAAACCATGCCAACTACAACACTAACAGTTATGACTCATAATCAGAGTGTAATTTGGTAACTAAATAAGCTTAATCATGCTAAAAGAAAGTCCCTTCTGTAAGATCTTAAGTTTAAAACTCTGCCAAAGATATATTAATCAAATCAAGGTGAAAAGAGTAAGTTATAAAAATCTCCAGTTTCTGTAACATGAAGTAACTAGGAGTGTTTCAACTCCCTCTGTCATAATCAACGTCCATTGTTTGCTGGTACCTACTGTCCACCCTATTGCCCTCAGCAGAGAGAGGGTCTGTGTGAGTGAGCACACAATGACGTGGCCCGGGCTTGTGCCTTGACCACTAGGTCTGGGGTGCAGCTCAGTAGTAACGACTAGGCCACCCCACTTTCCACTGATGTTTGGGTACATTTGCCATTTCTCTGTTTTTTATCATACAGTCAAACCTCTCTACAATGGCCTCCTTGGGAAAAGACAAAAGCGGCTGCTATACAGAGGTGGCCGTTATGGGGAAGTAGGGGTGTGAACGTTCAACTGTATTTATATGAAAACACATAGTTTGCATCTAAAGTACATTTTTCAAATTGAAAAAAGTACCTATTTGAAAATCATGCATGTAGGATGAAAATGGGTCTCTAATGTATGGGTCTTATAATGGTGGCAGCAATTAATGTGCTCCCATAGGAAGGAATGTGGAGGCATGTGGCCTCATGGTTAGTGCGCTCGTCTCTGGATCAAGCAGTCCGGGTTCAAGCCCTCGCCAGGGACGTTGTGTTGTGTTCTTGGGGACGACACTACTCTCACAGTGCCTCTCTTCACCCAGGTGTACAAATGGGTACCAGCAAATTCAATGCTGGGGGTCACCCTGCGATAGACTATCCCATCCAAGGAGGAGTAAAAATATTCCTTGTCACTTCATGCTACAGAAACCAGGATATTAGCAACAGCTTGACGGGCCACTTGGCTTGTATGCAGACTTTACCCATAGGAAGGAAAAAGGCCGTAAAAAGGCAGTAGTGCCTAGATACAAGCATGCAAGCAGACGAGTGCCATTCTTATTAATAAAATTTAGCTCAGCGTACAAATCTTTGACATATTTACATAAGGAAAATATCGCTGACATGTGTATTTTTACGTTTCATGAAACGTGTCTCAGTTTTCCAACCAGCAGCTATTTCTTCACTTTTTCAAGAACTGAAACCACAGATTACATTGTGAGCCACTTTGCTGTATCTGCTTGTGTACAATAAACAGTATAACGGTAATTGATATCCGAATTCCATTATCGTCAGGGTTAAAATTCTTCTGCGTTGACTTATGACACGTACAATGTCGTACTTCAAAGCATTCAGATAAGTTGCAATCCAAACCCAACCGCACGCAAATTAAAATAAACATCGTACTGCGAGAAAACCCTAAGAATTTTATTTCATCTTTCTCCACAAATGATAAGTTAACGGTTAAATATTGTAAAACTCAAAAGGGACGCGTAATCTCTACGATGCAAAGCCGCAGACAATAGAACGTAAACTCAATCCAAATTTACACATCGCACGAGGTCTAGGAAGATTCAAAACATTTCGAACATTTTCACGAAACGATTTCCTTACAATTTAATTGCCAAGCAGCTCTCAGACATCGGTGCATTACCCCAGAAGAAACTGAATTCTTTACGAAACGAAATCTTTTGCTAGAGTGCCAGCCCCCATGGGTTTTCGACAACAGAGCCTTCGGCATCAAACTGCGTTATTCAAACGATTCAAAGAAAACAAAGCTCATTGAATAAACTAAGCAGCTGATAACAGATTTTTTCTGCGAAAATTGCCAAGAAGCCATCTTTAATGTGAATTTTACCAACTAATGGTTGGCGCCACAACATCGATGTTTAGTAATATACAGAATCAATGCGATAACGAGGCGGCATTTGTGCCACTCGAAAATATATCCCTTGCAGATCAAAACACCGCCTAATAAATATGTAGCTGCTCTAGAGTATCAGAATATGTAGAATACAATATTCATATGACATGTGTTATTGCTAAGTACATACCTTCACAAGGATTAGGTTCACTGTCAGAAGTAGCTGGCATCCAAGTCTTGTTGTTATACAGTGGTTTACACCTTTCACAATCTTCACCTTCGGTGTTGTGCTCACAATCGCAGTCCTTGCCTTCGTAATATGGGAAATCGCAATACTCTCCGTGCCCGTGGCACTGACAGCGAGCATTGACTCGCAAGTCTGAGATACCGTAGAAGTATTGATTAAAAATGTTCTCCACTTTATTGTCCACGTTTTCCAGCCCGTCTGTACCGGGATATAACATCTGTAACCGAAGATCAGTGGCAGTGAAATACTCTTGAAGCGTCCTGTTCCAAAAGTCACCCTTGGTATAACGCCGTAAGGAATCGAAAAACACAAAGCCATTTTCTTGAGGAGTCGTTTCGCTGTATTCCTCTACGCAGTGGAGACTAAAGTCACCGTCCGTTATGCTTTCCACTGGCGTGCTCGGTATGCCGAATCGATCATTACAGTCGTCTGCATAGTATTGCAAAGGCGACCATGTCATGCCCTTATCCATGGACCTTTCGAGAATCATTTTATAGGGCCGAGGAGACTTGAAAGTGACACGAATTTCTCCAGTGAGTGCATAGCTCTTGTTGAAGGAAATCGTCACGTTTACCTTCAAAGGCTCGTCCGTGAAGTTGTTATTAATGTACCATTCCCACCATGTCACGGACTGCCAACTCGTTCCAAGATTACCATCAGTCATTTTCTCCACCGTGTGTGTGGTTTTGTTGCACATAAAACACTGGTTGAGAGGTTTAAGACGGCAATACTCAGCCGGTGGATCGCCACACGTACTCGTAGCATTCACCGTGTGGTCCACTAAACGCGCTGCATTCACGGGTCCGGGCATACATACTCCAGCTGATGAACATTCGCAAGACACCTCCGTGATAAACGCCGCTACGATTGAACATATGATCGTGATGACCTGGTTCCTTGGAGCCATGATCTCTCCTTCGATACCGCAGTGATCCGATCGCTCTGGTTACCTGCCTCTAATATGACTCAGTTAGCTTGTTTTTGATAAGATCTAACTCGATTACAACAACTCACTGACTAACACCACATGTAAAAGTTTTGAAGTCCGTTGTGTAAGCTTTAAAGCATAAAGGAACGTAGATTCCGGTTGGTTTCCTTTTGTTACAAATGGGTTGCTATGGTTACATGATGCACATGATTGCATGACCTCATTTCAAACAGCCATAACATTGACATAGGATTTAGACGGCAAGGAAATACTTCTTTCGTTTAGTAGACTTCGCTAAAAACATAGACCAACGTACTTTAAGATCAAGTAAATCGGGTTATTAAACAAACTGTTGTTCTGTGCCGTTTGGAAAAAGTCAAAAAAAAAAAACATTGTTTACACGACTACGGTTGGGGACGTATTGAGCGTCTCCCCAAAGTGTTTTGTAAGAGATGCCAAAAGGGAGAAATCGTGAGTCAGTGAGTCAGACGTTGAAAATAGTAAGACATATCCACTTTCCAAGTTGCAACCGCCAGAAATAATGAATATACAGCGTAAAGTTCCGAAATCAAAGTAACGATCCCATTACTTTCGAATTTTCGTAATTTTTTTTACTTAGGGATTCGCTACTGTAACATTAACGCGTCCCGAAACATCACGGCAAATTAGGTGTAAGCATAAAGTAAACACCGGCCCTATCCCCCACTCGGAGGCAAGGAACTAAGCATAAAGTAAAGAAAGTATTTCTGGTTTACAGCCAAACTACGGTAATTTGGAGACGAAAAGAATATTGAATACTGAAAACGTGAAAACGTGTGCGAACGTGTCATGATCGGTTTTGATTTATTTTCGAGTGGATAAGAAAGATTCTTTAAACCAGTCTCTAAGGTCACTAAAGTCAAAAAGAAACAAAACAAAAAACTCAAAAAAGCAGCAAAAGAATAATTACTGGTACATTTTTCAGTGCTTTTTATTCACTGTACATTTTAGCAGCAAACTTACAAAGTCTTAGAAGTAAAAATCCACTTTAATAGATTACATAAACTTAATAATAATGACAATTAAGAAACAACAACAAAAAGAACCAGATGAAACTATGACAATGCAAAATAAATTACTCGTTCTTAAACTTCAGTAGAACTTTTTAAAGTCAATCACTGCTCCAGCTTTGCTCGAACCATCAAAAGAAAGCCCACAGGCTTGAAATTCGAACTTTATGCAAATAGCTAAATAGGCAAGCAGTGTTGCGAACAAACCTCACAAGAAAAATCAGAAACACCAGTATTGCCATGCAGGAGTAAATCAGTTACTCCAATTACTACCTTGATTAGGTACAATTTATTGCAGTCTACTTTTCCTGCTTACATGGTTACGAATACGTTAGTTTCCGAAGCCACTTGAGCTCAAAAAAATCACAAATCTGTAGTATTCTAGTAACTATAACTCTAACTCTAACTTTCCTGTACTAAACTCTGCCCTGGAACACTCTTCAATCTTTAAACGGATTGATAATTTTCCTTACAGCTACAATTTTTGGTTACAATATTGGTTACCTCCTTTAAATGGTAATTTGTTTTCTTTAGAGCTGCAAAATTCCCGTTGGTGTAATAATGGGTAATATTTTAAAATTCCAGTAGTTTTGTTTTCTTTATAGTTGCAAAACCCCAAGCCGTGCTCTGTTTAGCAATGGCGTTAGATTCCTAGCTAGATCATAAATGTTGCGTTAAAGTTAATAGCCTTTGAATTTCAATCCTATTATACATATCATTCTTCCAACAGAATGCCAAACGTTTAAAATCTTATACCCATACACGGCGAGTATTTCAGCAATTTCTAGGCTCTTAGCAAGGCGATACGGAAGGTATCGACCTCAGCAAGTCCCTATATTTCGAAATATCAGACCGAAGCTGGCGAATCCGCTCTTTATACAATGCCACCTTCATCTTCTGCAGATGAAGCTCTCCTCGTAACTCCACTAGCTGCGGCTCCAGCTGCAGTCCGTCAAGTTGTTGTCTTGCTGAACTCACCTCTCCCCTGAGAGTGGGCAGACTGTCCACACTGACTCGTGGCAAATCAGAACTTTCGTTCATCAGGCGCCTGGTCAAAGTAATCAGCCACTGGACAGTGTTGTTTGCATGGGCGGCTCTCCCAAGAAGTGCTTCGCTGCTGTTCGACATATTAGAAGCCATGGTGGACAGATTTTGGCAGAGCTTCTGCACTGGTTCTATTTCTCTGGCCATGAAATTTTCCATAGTATTGTTTCCCACCATGTTATTCGCAGCAGTCTCGTTCCTCAAGTCGTGGGCACGACGGAGGGCCTTCTCCACGACCTTTGTAAGCCATAAAGTAAACATTGGTAGACATAGATCCAGGAAAAAAAAGTAAGGTTCCAAGAAGCATATAATCAGTGAGTGGGCTAGCTAAACAACATCTTTAGGATTGGTTGAGAAGAGAAAACCGAGGTATTCTACGGCTAAATTTAAAGAATAAATTGTTTACTGATTCTTTGTAGTTTTACCCAACTAACAAGGTCTGAATCAAAATTCGTAAAGCACCAAATCAGTGAGAAACCGAGTCAGTTTATGGTTTTGTGTCAAAACCTATCACACGAAAAGCCTTTTTATTAAAACTATTTTTTCTCGCATTTTTCCTCCAAGTCACGTGAAAAAGAGGCAAAAGGCAACCATCGGGGTCTTTAGAATGTCATACCAAGAAGTGCACCGAAGAAAAATCCGACCTGATCGCCTGGGCAGGGCCTCCGCGTAAAGACAAAGAGTCTTCTGTGGAATGTCAGCCCGAATCAACGAATAAAGAAGGTACGACTCCCGTCCTTACCACTTCAGATGGCTTCAACGCAAGACCTCCAGGAACATGTGGTAACAAAGCAGTCACCAGAATACCGTATGCTATCATCAATTCATCCGAGAACAAATTATACCCCCTGGGTCTCTTATACAGGTGGGTCTCTTCTGTTTAGGCAACATTGGCCACGCAATTACAAATAAACACATTTACAGGATCCATACCTGCTTCTCGGAGACGGAAAGATTTTTCACCATGATTCCAAGACGCAAAGCCTCCGTAACCAAGGACAGCGAGTGTGCTGATGATTCATTTACTGCCGAAACATTCGTTATAATCCGATGCGCGTTGTTCCGAGCAGACGCCACGGTCCGCAGAGAATTGTTTGCAGAAGTCTGGGCCCGATGAGATTCTGTTTCAAAATTGCTTGCAGCCTCCAGCATTTTTTGCGCATGTCCGTGCACGCGGCTTGCTCTTTCCACAGCCATCTGGGCAGTGGTTAGTGTAGTTTGGGATTCCTGCAGTTGTTGTGTACCGTTGGAGACAACATCATGTACCGCCTCACCCAAATGAACCGATCGTTCAATGGCCGTGTTGACCTGAACTATCACAGACGCGCTGGATTGATACAAGTCACTGGTTTGATTGAGGTAATGTGCTGCCAGAGTCTTTGCATCAGTTGATTTCCTTGTCAAGTCTTCTAACACCTTCGTTTATATAATAATAGTATATTCATGTCAATCTCAGCTCCAGGGTTCTCCCTAACGTTGAAGCCCAAAATGGCGCCTTCTCAGGCGTTAGTCTTTGCTATCTTAAATATAGAAACCAGAGGCTGCTAGGATCGGGCTTGAAGGCTAAATATTCGAACCCTGTGCCGTTCAATTGTAAAACTGCGGGGGTTTGTATTGTTATGTTCACTTGGTGCCCAGGCAAGTCTGAACACTACTTTGTGCCAGTGCCCAGGTACTAGTGCTCGGTCACCAAGTGTGAACATAGCCTTAATCTACCTTGATAAGCAATACAGTACTGACTACACTTACACTGCTCCTGTCAGGGTTTGGCTGACTGGCCTCCTCCAACATCGCTAAGCTGTCATTGTACGCTCTGCTCGCACTCGATAGTTGGCCAAGCACCAATGCGACCGTTTGTTCTCCAAGCATATTTACCCTTGAAGCGTTTTCATACAGCGGCTCCAACAGAGTAGCAACTTGATCCTGTGTGTCGTTGGCTTCTCGCGCCATTTCAGCGGCATTTTCCGCTGTCTCCTCCGCGTAGTCAACAAGTGCATGTATGGTCTCATTAGCTGCAAGAGTGCGATTTTCATGGTGTATCACACTGTCCGTAAGATTTACCAACTGCTCTGCTACACGCGACAGGGATTTGGACAGCACTTCGTCTTGCTCTAGTTCCAGTCTCATAGGAGTGTCCAGTAAGCGGAATGCCTCCCTGATGACGTCACGAATCTGCGTCACGATCCTCTCAATTGCTTTCTTGTTGGCGTCTACAATGGATGTGTAATGAAGTGTCTCATTCACTGCAGTTGTTTCCGTGTCGTTTAGCCCTGTATTCAGATCGAGGAAAGCTGCATCAATTCGCAGCCACTGAGATGTTGAATTGCTTTCTACTTCCATGGCCATGGTGATCTGAGGGTCGAGTGCGCTGAACTCTGTAACAAGCTGACGCAGGCGTTCGACAAAGGTGTGATTGTGAAGCATGGCGGGATGGTTCATAAGGGCCGTGAGAAGAACCTGTACGCTTGAGATCTGGGCGCGAAGTAAATCCATATCCTCTTGGATGGAGGAGTAGCAGGAAGAGCACTCTACAGTGAATAATGCCAAAATGAAGTCAACATGATGTGCAAGTAGCTCATTGTCAATTATTTGACTCCTTGATTGATAATCTATTTTCTTCTTAAATATTGATTTCCTAGAGGATCAGCTTCTACTTCTTCTTACTTACAGTTTAGTGTGCAGGTTATGAGAATAAAAACGAAACGATAACTAGAGAAAATCTATTCCCTCAAGTAGTACTAGGTAATACTAACTCGTCGACTCCTACTTAGGGCTATCGCTCGAAACGTCAGCTTTTTCAAAATTCGCTACGGTGGTTAAAATTTAATTTACCTTTATTAACAAGTTGATAATGTAACTAAGTAAATTCTAAATTTAATTTGGTACTAAAATACATGACGACGCTAGGAAAGCTATGTAATTTGACAGGCAGTTTAATATATATAAGGTTTAAACGACTTTTTAAAACCAACTTATAGAAGAAGCGTCACATTTACCTGTACAACTGAACAGGCTAGCGGAAGTATTCCAGCTGTTTTCTGTGCACCTGTCGCAGCGCATGCCCCCAATTCTAGCTGTTGTGTTACACACACACTGGCCCGTCACTTGGTCACACATGGTAACATTACCAAGTGCGGTTCCCACTGGGTGACAGTCACAAGCTAACAAAATAGATAACAACATAGCAGTTTAAAAATCTTCGTGACACAAAACAATAAATTGAGAAGGAAAGAATTGTCATTTTCTATAAAGTTGGCAGAAACCTAACTAATTCTTTCGCATTGCTAACCACCGTGTTAAACGAAAGATTAGGTTAGGTTTCCGGGAACGGCAAGGAAAACGACAAAACAAGAAAAATTGCATGTGCGCAGTGCTGTTGCAATATGGCAGCTGGCATTCTTTTTTTGGGAGTAACAGCCCGTTGATTTCGAAAAATGACCACGTCTTTTGGCTGTTTTCACCACTTTTGGTAGCAAACATTCTTTTTTTCATCCTGTTTTCTGCAAATCTTAGGAATTCCAGAATTTTCGGTAGTTATCTACATAAGAAATGTGATTTCTAGCTTTTATTTTGCTCCTTTAAGTCCTCTTTCCCGACCGTTGTTACTCCTGAATAAATTGTTTTAGAACTTGAATTACAATAAACATGAACTTGAGCAAGAATCTCCCAAAGTGGATTCTGTTACCTGTAAGCGGTGCTCGTAAACAAATTGCGACAATGGTTTTCCCCAGGACGGGTCAGGTTGCTAAGCAACTCCTTTGACGAAATCCGTCAACTTAGTCCGTTCTTAGAATGGAGGCGGGAGTCCTACCTTGAAAACAAGATAATAAATTGATGCCTCAATCCCGAGATGCATTAAGGGGCATTACTCTTCACACCTACCTTGACAGCCATTCTCTGACAGCCCCCAGTAGCCAGGTTTACATCGAGTGCACTCAGGCCCCTGCACATTGTTTGTACACAGATGACAGCGATCCCCATAAGTACCCACTTGGCAGTTGGTACATGCACCAGTCTCTCCATCACACTCTGTACTTCTGTTGTTACAGGAACACAGAACACAGCGTCCAAATGATCCACTGCCATTCACCTCGCGCGTGTATCCTGAAAAATCAGAACAGAAAACAGTTTTTAACACAACAATAGATTAGGGCAGACCCGTACCCAGTCGCCATTTATGTTTTTTGCGGGAGAGAAGATTGGAAACTAGGAGGGATTAAGGCGCGCAGGGTGTCATGGGAAGGTCGAAACAATAGCGACTGGGTACGAGTCTGGATTAGGGGCGTTGTAATTGGAATGATATCCAGAGCAAAGAACTATAGTGCAGTTTTAAGAAACAAAGAAACAACCAAACAAATGGCAAATTGACCTTTACGGTGAGAAAACGAATACTGGACAAAAGTATAAATGAACCAAAAAGCAGGGAGTATGCTACGTTTTCCCTCTCGTATTTTACTGGACTAGGTCTACACAGGTCGTCTTCACATAAGAACCGGCGGGTCTCACTGGTTTGTCAAAGTTGCTTACATGTATGCGGCAGACCCAAAATGTACAGTAAAAAATGTACAGTAAAGCATTGTCTGGGTCTCGACGGTTTGTGTAGATACAGTAAGAATACGTAATTTTTTTCAGTTGACCTCGCGCGCACATCCATACCATCCCCTCCCACCATCAACTTAAACTATACATGTGGATCTTTGCTGTTGAAGATGGTAACCATCAACTTCGTCCCCCACGGCTTTAAAGGGAAGAACGCCCTTGGGACGAGGTTGGGTAACCATGAAGAATGCTATATTAGATAAACACTAGGTATCAATGAGAATAAAAACTGGTGATTACCTTGCGCGCACAGTTCACATGACAGCCCTGTGTAGTTCATGTGACACGTTGCGTTCTCTACAAACCGAACACTCTTTCCATCAGGTGCACCTTGCTCATCCACAGCTGTCTCTAAGTTGATCTCCTTAAATGTAACAGTCCCGGGTGCGTAGTACGTGGCACGTACCTTGAGTGATGTAACATCGGCCAGAATGGACTGGAACTCCAGCGATGAAACTGACTCACCAATCACCTGCGTTTCATCCAGTATCACGTGATATGACGTGACGTTGGGAGAAGGGGAGGGTATAAAGTTCAGCGCCACTTCACTGGCTCCACTCACGAGGATGACATCACCATCAGCCGGAGATGGGTTTTGCACAGAATTCGGATCTCTTATATCCATCTGTAAGTAGCAAATTAAAAACAGCGCGTTTTAGTTTTCAAATTCATATACAGTCAAACCTCTCTACAACGGCCACCTTGGGGACAGATGAAAGGTAGCCGTTATGGGGAGGAAGGGCTGTAATATAACACCTATTTTTTCGGGGGTACAACATTTTTATATTTAAAAAATGCTGACTGTAGCATAGAAATACCCAACACAATCAAAATATATCAATAAAACAGAAACCAAACAGAGAGAGACCAACGACATGCGATGCGGATCAAGTTTCGCGACCCTTACAATATAACACGGGGTTTGGTAAACACCATTCGTCAGTCGTTTATTATCTGGCCGTTGTGGAGAGATCATTTTGGTAGTTCAGGACGACGTGCTTTAGTGGTCGTTGCCGTTGTGGTTAAGTGGCCATTGTAGAGAGGTTAAAATAAAAGTGAATGTATGGACCGTCCCCCGGGACGAAAAAAAGTGGCCGTTAGTGGAGGTTCGACTGTATTACTGAACTATGGGATTTTTTCGAGTATTTGTTTCATGAACCTTCCGTAGCGCATAAACTACCTAATCAGAACGGCGATACTGTGATTTGGCCAGTCAGGCGATAAACCGAAATAATCACGTGATTTGACTTACATTCTTTATCAGGGACGACAGGAAAAACAAGTCGTGATTTGATCCGGCTTCGCCACTGGTCACAGCTTTTTGCTTTATAACCTCTGATTGGTATATTAGGCTATTTGCTCCCGCAGCACTATACTAGGTATGACTGCATCTGTCTTAGTTCCCCAACAGCCATCGAGTTTGATAACCCTCAATTTCTACCCTTGATGCATTCTGCTGGGTATTCTCCATGCACTTACTTTGACATGAAGTCGCTGGCCGTAAGATCTAAATTGTGTGCCCAAGAACAATGGTGGCGCTGTGATGTACACTACTGTGACAGTTGAAGTGACAACCAGGCCATTATACGAGGAGTTGGCAAATGGAAAACCGTCACCTGCTCTGTCCACAACTATCCACTCAAACACTGTAACGACAAGAGCAGAGCAGCTTTTTTATTTAATTGTTTTTATCATATTAGATATTAGGAAATGAATGTAGTTGTAGTTTTAGCTGACGAATTTTTAACTGTGTTGAAATAAAGATTATGTATGTATGTATAACTCACTTCTTTATATCAGGGCCGTGAAACCAAAACGAAAGTAATAATAGCTGCCAATCGCAGATAACGTAAACAATATGACCAATGAAAACTCGAAAAAATGGTGGGAATTAGTTTTGATTTTGCATAGATTCGTCACATAAATAAAAGGCACAAATATAAGTACTTAAATTCAAAATTCAGTGTTTGTCATTCTGAGCAATATTCTCCTACAATCATTGCAACAGAAAGAGTCACATGCAATGTACAGCACACACCATTGTGATGTCGCCATAATTGCTGTGATTGCCGTTTTATAAATTGTACAATGTGAGCTTCATTGTGAATGACCAATGATGTCTTTAGTTTTGGTTTTATGTTAGTTAATAGAGAGTAGAAAGCACTCTAAAAACGGTAATAAAACAAACTGTACCTTATCACAGTTAGAGAACTGTACAGGGAAAAGATACTAACCTGTTTTGTTGACAAAATGGCTTGTAATGGCTGATGCAACAAATCCTTCTGCGGATGTACAAGTGAGTGCTCGACCGTAGCCAAAACAGTGCAGACATCCTTGTTGATTGGCAGTGTCCAAATTATATGTGCCATCTTTACAGCTGTCGCAGTTATGGCCTTTAACGTTATCTTTACAGAAGCATTCCCCTGTTGTTAAATGGCAAGCAGTATGCAAAGATCCAGCACTTGAACACTGACAAGCTGAAAGACATTTAGAATTTTGCAGTAAGTATGTCTGTTGTGTTCCAGTTTTATATATTGGCCTTGAATGGCGATATGCCAGGATGTAATAACAAAGTCACTGTGAAGTACAAAATACTAAAGGAAATCTTGGGGTTGGCATTACAGTTTACTAATTAAAAGTAGAAAGAGAACAAACAAGAACAAGAAATGTTCACAATAAACTTCAGTATAACTTTTGAAAAGCTCAGGCCAAACTTTTTGCATCATTTTGAATGCTTGTATATACATGTGGCACAAGTTAACTGCAACTGTAAAATTTATCTACTGTGTTAACTTAGCAAAGAGCCTTACTCTCAGAGGAAAGCTAGGAACTAAGAGAGTTAACTTAGCAATCTTCTTACGCTGACACCCAGCAGAAGAGAATCCATAAAATCCATTATCACATGAGTCACATGTACGACCCACCACACCAGGCTGACAGTCACACTGGCCTCCATAAGCTTCACATTGTGAACCTATCACACTACCAGTGGGATCACAGCCACATGCTGTACAAACAAAAAAGAAATTGTATAGGATTATCTTAACAAAAATATGTACTATCGATTGCTATAAACCTACTGTTGAATACCACTAGGCTTCTTGCCTTTCAAGTCACTTTGAGGAAAGGCATAATAGAGAGAATGTCCTGAAACAAAGGGGAGGATTTAATTTTTAGCCAAATCAGCGAGAACCTATGCAAAAAGAATGCAGTATTTATTATTCTTTTAACATGCAGACTCTCTTCTCTACAAATGGAAGTAGCAAATAACAAAGTATATTTTCTCAGAAATCATACTGAGTCAACATTGTTGAAATGCAAACATCCTCAAACTTTTAGAAAGGGTAAAAGTAAGTAAGAACTTTATTTAAGTGTCAATGTATTTAGCCCATGTGGGCTAATTGGGGACACCCTATTAACTCTACATAAAAATTCTCTTAAAAAATTAAAATTGAAATATCAGCAAACAATGGAAGGAAATAAAAGAGTATATGTTGTCCTAAGAAACGCCTTAATTATAATGTTATATTAATTAAAGTTTAATATTCTAAAATTCTACATTAATGTACAGTTAAAATTCAAAAAATTTGTCCTTTCTCCTTAATGGATGGGTGAGGCCTCTTATTTCAGGTGAAAAAATTTACTAGCCGCACAGGTTTCCTTGGGTGGGTCAATAGAGCTTCTTTCACAAGACATACCCTAAATACATCAATAAAGAAATGAGAAGAGGTTCTCATAAGACATGCTGGTGCAGTGGATACTGCAATGCAAACTCCATATACACCAGTAGGTGTTTACAAGTGTCTAACGTTTTAGGGGGTAAATGGGGGATAGTAATTGGGTACTTACCCAAAGTACCATTGTATATCTCTGTACTAGCAGAAAACACCAGTTGATCACAATAAGCTGGCTCCTGTTCTGCAAGAGACAGAGCTGCCTGTTCACAGCTCTGCAGCTGATCTTGAATGTCTCTTCCTGACTCAGTGTACACCCTAGTTGCACTGACATCAGGAATCAAGACCACTGCATCAACAAGAATAGGACAGTAATCACCACCATCAGTGCTGTTGTAGATCAGTGAGATGTTGTTCTTTTCACCTGACAGCAGTGCTACAGTTTGAGGTGACCTCCATGCCTGTCTTGAACCTTGTTGTAGCTCATCTGCGAAGACCTCAAATTCCACACTGTCATTTGAACTGGTGCTTCTGAGACTCAAAACAAGCTTTGCACCAAAACCAAATGTGCAAGTCCTTGAAATGCTATAACGTATAATAACATGGAACTGATGGCTGGCAAAGACTTCAGCATCACTGATGTGAGCATACTGCCCTGGATGGAGGGTGGCATAGCCATGGCCAGTGAAGTCTATTCCTTGGCCCTCAGAGGGAGTCAAGGTTGTGAAGGTGCCATCCATGTCTTCCACTTCAAACTTGACAAAGTCCAATGCTGGATAAAAGTGCTCTCGCTGAGATCTTTCACACTGGCTCCCTTCAAGTCCAGGACGACAGAAACAAGTTCCTAAAACAGGACAATAAAAAAAGCTCATTGTGCTATGTTTTCCAAGAGTGGTTAAAGTTTAAAAGGGTGATACAGACATTTTTCACCAAAATTCTGAACAGTTGTCTTCATAAACTGCCCTAATCTTCACAATTAATTTCTAAATGCTTCTAGTTATTCAGAGTTCTGAAGATGTGAAGAAATCACATCACTTATGCAGTGACATTTGGGCAACAGTTCACATCAACTGAAATACAGCCATAGCACTGTGGTTTTAAGATGATTTCCAGTCCGTATTGCACACTCTCGAGAGTTTGCTCTTTTTGTTTTGTTTCATGTAAGAGACCACAAAATGTAAACATTTTGCAACTATTTACATGAAGTAAATTCAAAGTTTCAAAATAACTGCCATTATGAATGCAAAGCTTTTTGCTTTGTTCTTTCTCATATCACTTGATGAAACAACTTCGCAGCTGTAAAAATCAATGAAGCTGTTGGAAAAAAGAATTTGAAAGGCCTCAAAGATAAGGGATGTGGTTCATAATGAATAAGATCGATTTGCATTAGGGTGCTGAGAGGGTTATACCCCCTGTGCCCTCCCCTCCCCCCCTGCAAACATTAAATTTATTAGTGCCCATTTATACACCTGGGTAGAGAGAGGTGCTGTGAGAGTAAAGGATCTTGTCCAAGAGCACAACACAATGTTCCCAGCCATGGCTCGAACCTATGCCCTCCACACTATTACATTATACACCACTAGTAATATACATTGTGCTCACCTGACACTTTGTCACACTGAGGGAAAGCCCCACCTAAATCACAGGGACACCGCAAACAATCTGCATTCTCCGTAATTGGAAAAAAGTAAAAGCCATCTTTACACTCCACACAGTATGTGCCTTGGACACTCCCCTTGCATGGACAGTCTCCTGTGTACTGGTCACACTGTATGGTGTTGTTAACTGTACCAAGAGTATTGCACCCACAGGCTAATAGAGAAGGTTGACAGTATTCTCACTCTAGTACCAACGATATCAGCAAATCTAGACATCCAGTATCATTAAAATCTGGACCATTGGATAATGCAATTGAATAGTTTTCATTGGCTTAGCCATCATGGTATATGAGCAGTAATATTTATATTATACCATGCTCTACAAATATAGTAAGTATATGCATAATTTTTGGGGCGTTTCTTATTTGCATATTATTTTAGTTTTCTTTGTTTTTTGGGGCATTTTTAATAAAACAATATTCCACTTGCGCTTGTTGGATATTAGATGATTATAACCAACTTGGCAATTTGTACCTTGTTGGTTATCTATCATCTTGTACCCAATGTGCCCTCCTGGAATAATTGTTACTAATGATTCATGAGACATATTTGCTTGTGAAGGTTGATCAAGAAACATAACACAACACAACATCTCCCTGCTGGAAAAGATCCTCCAGTGTACAGGATTAGCAGTTTTTTAAAAGAGTAACTGCCATTGTGTGAGCTCATTATTCACAGAAATGTACTTTTTGGATGGAACAGCAAATGCATATGCAGGGGTTTCATTAACGTTTTCAGCAGGAGGGCAACTGGTTTTCACAGATGGGCAAAAATATTTAAACTGAAGTTGTTTGTAAGAAAAACTTTCTGCTAGATGGTTAAACTAGCCAGGCAAAATTGTCCTCACAGCCGGTCAATTTGCCCGGTACTCGGCGTTTAATGAAACTCCTGCATGTGGTTATCAATAAAATATCATTTACAAAAAGACAAATTGTGACAAGTTTTCTTGAACTGTAAGTAGAACTACTATGTGTCAGACTAAGTCAAATGTTATGAGAACCCCAGGAACATATTTCAGTACTCCAAAATTCTGTGACTGAGTTTTTGAAACAAACCTAAATTTCCCAACATCCTGTGGAAAACAGTTAAAATAGCCTGCAAGTGCAGGCATATTTAGGGTGTGTGAGTGCACATTTTTGTATTAGACCACCATCTTGGATTTGGTGGAGGGTTGGGACGAAGGAAAATTTGCTGAGGGAGTAGCATCCAATTACAATCCAAAATGGCGGCATCAAAGACCTGGTTTATCAAGAGTAGGCTGCAGTTAAAAAGGATAGCTAACCTCTGCATTCTCCAGGTGGATTTCCTCTGTATCCCCAGTAACCTGGAATACACTGATCACACTGCCGTCCAAACACGTTGTTCTTACACTGGCACTGCCCAAGCTGCTTTGTGGGTGTAGCTTCCTGCAGACATGTCCCATCATTTGTAATACCCTCTGGGAAACAGTCACAAGCTGCAAAGAAAAATGTTCAAGTATAGATTTAAAAAGCCTTAAAATGGACTTGGATATTAAAGTGCATGTCATAGGAAGTAACAAAAAAAGAACATAACATAAAATTCCAAGAGTAAGCACTTCCTTTCTTCCCCCGAAAAAAAAAATATATAATTATGAGCCCTACTGAAAGTTAGCACTTATTTTCAGATACAAAAATGCTTCTGATAATAAGCCTCCCAACCCTAATATTTATAAGCCCATGGCTTAAATTTAGATTTAGATTTAGCCACCACTTCTTCTTATCAATAAAAACCGTCTATTGTAGTGCTTGTTTTGTATTTTAGCTGTTGGAGCATGTTCCTTGACTTGCAATGTTCATTAATAAGACCGTCACTGTAGAACTTCATTTGTACTTCATGTGTTATATTATATTTTGAGTGATGCTTGCATGCACCTAAATTTTGAACACACAACATCCCTTCCAAAATAATATACAAACATTGTTCAAAGCAAGTACAAAATCTCTTCAATGATAAGCACCTCCAGTGAAGTGCTCCCCCTGAAAAAAAAAAAATATTAAGCCTACCCAAAAAGTTTACACCTGTACTGGATTAAATAATGCAAAGAAGGAATAAAATATACATTAATTGGATCTCATAATTTTTGAGATTTTCAAAACTTTTTGTCTACCAATTAATAAACCAGCACTCTTACCAATGCAAGCATTGAGATCCTCTATTGATACATCCATATTCCTGTAGTACTTTGGTAAGCACTTCTCGCAGTGTTGCCCTTCAGTATTGTGTTGACAACTAGTACAAATGCCATGACCCAGAGTATTGTTGTACTCACAGGACAATCCATGGTTATTGCACTGGCATTCTATACCACATCAAAACAAACACAGTCAAACAATTCTAAGCCAGAAAAAAAATCATTCACAACTACAATGAAAACAGTTTCCAGCTACATAATGAATCTAGGTATTTTCCATAATTTTATGATTACTAAAAAAAAGGAAGAAATTTATTTACTGAGATACTACCTTGACATTCATTTGCATGGCTGGCATTAGCTGGCATCCATGGATGATTATTGAATAGTGGCTTGCACATTTCACAATCATCTCCCATAGTATCGTGCTCACACTCACATGTTTCTTGCATGACTGGTCCAGTGCAATATTTAGCATGGCCATTGCAGTTGCACCGTCCTGTAATCACAATATCTGAGATGGCGTAATAGTATTTGTTGAGAGTGCCCTCATTCTCAAATATATTTTCAAGCCCATCTGTGGGTGGGTACACAAGCCTGATTCGTACATTTGTTGCAAGCATGAAGTTCTGCATGTCTTGATCAAAGTAACCACAACCTGGTTCATACCGTGCGTCAAATCTGTACTCCACCTTGCCATACCTTGGTGGGTATTGCCCACTATAATCCTCAGTGCAGGTCACATTAAATGGATGGTTTGTGAGGACAGCTGCTACTCCAGGCATGTTGAAAGAATCTGGGCACTTGAAAGCAAAATATTGCAAAACACTCCATGTTTTTCCAAAGTTTTTAGACTTCTCCAGGAACAAGGCCTGTGGTCTTTCATTGTAAAATCTCAAAGTGATACCACCACTTATGTGGAAGGTTCTGCCAAAAGACAATGTTATGTTTACCTTTAAAGGATTAAACCGACTTGAAAGGCCTAGGTTGTTTGTATCCCACCATGTTTGAGACTGCCACCAAGTTCCTGTTTGAGAGGAATATGGATTATTAAATTCCTTGTTGTCAACCATATACTCTGGTGGGTGTCTTTTGGTAGTGCTGTTTGCATCACATTCAAAGCATTGTTCCCCAGGCCCAAGTTCACAGAACCCACTAGCAGGTCTCCCACAGGTATTTGTTGCTGAAATATTCCTCTTATATGCCATGTTGACTGGGCTTGGAATGCAAGGATGAGGCCGTCTCTGAGAATCATAGCACCCATTGAAGCTACAATCAGCAGCATCTATTGACACATTGAGTGAATACAAGAGAAACTGAATAAACAGTAAAACCACTGGCCTGTAAATTTTCATCTTGAAAGAAGCATTGCTTGAGAATCCAAACAAAAACATCACAGCTTATTTCAGAAAGAGTTTGACTGTCATCTCCAGCAGACGTTTAAAGTTTACATATGGGGAAAGACTACTGATTCAAGTGCTGATTGAAGTAGTGCAGCCTCGAATTAGTGGTGGTAAGCAATAATCTGATATACAGCTTAAAGGGAATTCTCCAAATATGAATATGCTAATTTAAACACATTATTCATAATTCATGCCCAAAATTAATTAAATATGAGGTAGACACTATTTTGACATATTAGCGGCCCGAATCTACGAGACTTAAAAACTAAGAGAAAGGCATGTCAGCAAGTGCAAGTCAAGTCAAAATGGTTGCACTGCGAAGTGTAAAAGTTAATAAAGTTGCATGTCAGAGCAACTAAAATGCAGTCAACGTCATTCAAATTAATAGTTACTAGAAGGCGTTTTGACATGTGCAATCACTTTACCTTCATTGATGTGTGTGTGGGCTTGACGCTGTGGTCAACATTTTGCAGTGTTTTGCAGGTACTTGAAATCCAGCCAGTTGCAACTGACCGCGCGCGCACAGCAAAGAAACCGCGATGAAATTTCCACTTTGACCTTCCCGTTACTAATGAAAAAGACTACTTCATCAAGAAATAATTGGTTATTTGTCGTTTTAAATAACTCCAGAGGGATTGCCCTTTTAGTTGAAGATTCGATGGACATACCAGGAATCATGATCGAATTTTCCGCCATTTTTTGACAAGTGATAAGTAACGTAGTACTTCAGGTGGTTTTACATGAACTAATAAGTTACCGCTTGCCATTTTACCATCAATTTTCAAAATGGCGAACGTTCTTCGGTGTTCAAGACATCTTTTAAGAAGACCAATCTGCTTGTGAGTATTAATACTACTGAGTTATCTTCGTAGAATATCATGCAAAATAATTCGTATATTATTTATTTAACTTTGCCTGTTCCTGATGATAACGTCGCCTTCTATACAACCTTAGTAACCTCCAGTACCTACCAACTTGCACTTCGAATATGCTGTAAGTTACATAAATCTAAACTAACTTAAATATGACTTAATTGTTAACAGAATCCCAAGACGATATGAACAGCACAGTATAGAAAAAGAACCAATAAAGACAACAGTGACTTTTATAACAGATGTCAAAGACAATCATGGTATTTTGAACACTCCGCCGTTTGTTACATCATACAGCAATCGCGGTTTTCATCTCAAGGGTATCAAAGTGTTCGGTTCTGTAGCAGTTCTTCCTTCAGCATTTTACCACTGGCGGGTAAGTTACTAGTGTTAATGCAGGATTTGTGCTTCACATTTGAATGGAGGAACAATTTAACAAATTGATGTCAGGTTTTCATACGTGTGTCCTGATATTGATCATGAATTTTGTCATAACATTGTCGAAGTAGCTGTGGATCCACGAGGTGATAGCCGAGTGGATCTGCAGACTACTTTGACAATGTTATGGCAAAATTCATTGTCAATAACAGGACAGACACATGATAAACTGACATCAATTTGTTTTTTACGGTAACTAATTGTTAAATTGTCCACTCTCACTCTTTGATGCATTGCATAAATTATGAATTTGTGTGTCAGTGTGCATATTGACAATGAAAATTAGCCAATGAGCATGCATGAATTTCTGTAGTTATCGTAAAAAAACATGATGGTTGGTGTACTGGCCCAGGGTGAAAGGGGGGAGGGACTCCCATGTAAAAAGGACTGGAGTGCTCATCATACCTTTTAGGGATTAAAAAGGGGGTTTTGGTAACTCTAAGGGTGTTCAGCCTCAATAGGTCCACAGCACGAACTTTTGCGGTACCTTTTAAAGCATTGAGTCGAAAAAAATTTGACAGGAGATAGTTTGTTGTTTTAGAATTGGTACCTCCTATGCCCAGTTCAAACGCCGTACTTCACATGAGCCGAATCAAATGCTAATGGGGGAGAACAAAAGATTTTTCTCATTTGCATTCGACTCGGCTCATGTGGAGTGTGGCGTCTGAACTTGGCCTTCGGAGTGAAAAAACATTTCAAGCCACACCCTCAAAACAGGATCCTGGTGCCTCTTAGAGGTTCTTTTTATCATTTCCAATAAGTATCCCTGTTCTTTTTATATGGGAGTCCCCCTCCTGGGGCACTGGACTCCAGATCAACAGGTCTAGGTTGAACAGCCTGACTGGTATCATTGTGTCTTAGGGTAATAGGGATGTCACTGATCATGAGCATTGGTTGCCAGCTAATTTCCCCTGCTGAAAGAGAACTTAAATTCGTCTAGAATTTCACTCAAAAACAAAGACTTGGGTTATCTTTGGAGGTGCAAAAGCTAGAAAAGCCAGCTGGGCTTTTTAATGAGCCAGCTTTGTGCTTTCTTGGCCACATGCCTTGGTTAAGACTCTTTTGATGGCTCCATAGGGTAATCATTTAAACTGAGTGATTACCCTATGGAGCCATCTGAAGTGTCTTAACCTAGGCATGCATTGGTGATATATTTTGAAAGCTGTTTTTTGTGGGCAGCAGGGATGGTGCAGTGGTGAGAGGGCTCGCCTCCCACCAATATTGCCCGGGTTTGAGTCTGGCCCGGTGCCATACGTGGGTTGAGTTTGCTGTTGGTTCTCAGTTTGCTCCAAAATCATATAAACTCTCAATTTTTTATGATTTCTTTGATACTGTTAAAAACTGGCAAACATAGTGATTTTCATCTCTAATAATAAATAATAGTAAAATAGGTGCACGACAGGATTTTAAAGTCATCACAAAACTGATAAAAATTTTAAGAATAAAACCAATAGATTACTGTCAGTGCATGTACTAAGGTTGTGGTAAGGTTTTCTTTTTCCAGGAATAAAGTGTGATCAATATGCTCAGTAGTAAAACTTGAAGTGAAGGATTTTTATTTTTACTTAATATATTACATTTTAAAGGTCGTAAAACCTGAAGATATAACTGCAGAGAGTCTGGCTCTTTTCACAATAATGGAACCTCCTATAGGTATGCCATTTTCATAGATATCACACATTAACCACATTTTTCCATGGTCTATTACTATAAGTGTAAGTTTTTATTATCAGTTGATAGCGGAGCTCCTGCGCACCGAAGGCACGCGAGCAAAGCCCTATACCTTAGAAAATTTGGTAACCTATCGACCTGAAAAATTTTGGTTGTCATGTGACTGTCCATATGTACATATGTCCGTACATCTGTACACCACTACCTTGACAACTAAGAGAGTAGCACCATTGCCATAGCTACATCTTTGATTTTGGGCATCCACACTATTGTCAATTGACAGCTGTCACAACAAGCTATCCACTGACCAGTATCATGTGACTATATCGTGGGCTCAGGTTTAGAGCTCTTCGAGGTTTTGTGTTTTTTAAAGTTGACCACTGAACAATTACTGGTTTACCGATTGGATCGCGGGCTCAAGTCACATTATTTCTCTGGGGAAGAAGGAAGGAGTACTCGCAAAGGCAAAATTTCAGGGCAAATTAATCCCTGGCGCGCTGTTGACTTTTCTTCTGACATATCCCTTGTACAATTGTCTCTTGGAAAGTCCCTGATATATTGCATACGTAATTTCTACAATCTTGGTTAGGCTTGTTGGGTATAGTTTGTTAAAATTTAGCTGGAAAAAATAGCAAGACCACATGCTAAACAATTACATGCTCACAATTGATCATTTTTTTTGAGTTTCTGATCCAATAAAAATTAATCCTCTTTTTCCTTTATTGTCAGTTATTGCAATCAGGAGCTCCCCTTTAGGCTTGGCTAAATCTATATATTAGTTAGTAAGGTGGTGAGCAAGATGAGTTGGCATATCATTCATAGAGAAAAGGAGACCAAGTGTGCATGTGATTGTGGTTTAAGAGAAATGTCAATGATAACAGAACTAGTCAGATTCAAGGATCTAATTAAATGTTAGAGTGCAGACCACATCTTTGATGGTCAATGCATTCATCAAGTTAATCTGATGACTAATGATAATATTACTGGTCATTAGATTAGTCCAATACAAATTTTCAGCACTGGACAATTTTGCCATATCTTGTATGTTTTAAGGGTTGCTCTTCAAATGTTGTTGATATCCTCACTTCCAAGGGATTAGTTTTCTTGAGTTAATGGTGTCATCCAAGGGGTGGGGGTACTCAAGGAAGAAAGAGATTGCAAGGTGCAAATAGCTTAACACCCCCTCCCCCCTTGAGGCATGTGATTTCATTTGGTTTAGTTTGTGAGAACATTATTTAACATTAACTTTCAAAGTTAGTGAAGCCAAAATCTTTGGAAAGTGTGCTCCAGGTGTATTGTCAGTGGCCCATGTGCATGTTCTCAAAATCTTCACTGTAGCTAGCTATAACAGTGTAATCATTACATCTTAACTTTTCATTGATATTTGTTTAGAAATTGTGGTCGTGGGGACAGGAGAGAAGATATTACGTTTAGACCCTGAAATTCGCAGCTATTTGAAGAAGCATAACATTCTCTTGGAAGTTCAGGATACAGTAAGTTTTGTTGTTCAACTCCACCCACTCATGGAAATTTGAGAGAACTTGAAAAATTTGAGGAAATACTTGCCTGTCGGCTTGTGTTCCCACAGTATTTGTCATTCTCCCAAACTTCCACTTATGTTTTTATAAGTCAATAGAAACACGGTACATGTTTTCTATTTCTTAAATAGTGCCACTGAACATTCTTACATGTCACTGATATTTTTACTCAAAGAGACATGTCTTAGACTCAACAAAATATTTCAGACAACACTCTTAAGAATAACAAAAGAGAAACGTATTTCACTTAATTTTTGCCAGAGTCATACTATTTCATAGCCAGCAATTTTAGTCCAGATAACACTTGAGGCTCTTCACTATATCTCACCTGATCATCAAAAATCCCCATAAAGCCTGAGTCAGGCTGACCTGAAGTTTTTTTCCCCTGGCTTACTTTACAACTGTGTATGTGCATATAACCGTGACTGTATCTTCTTTTAAGCTATGTAAAATTCTATCTAAATGATGTTATTTTCTAGGCAAATGCAACTGCTACATTCAACTTTCTTCTTGAAGAAGCAAGGATGGTCGGGGGTGCTTTTATACCACCACGGACAGTAGAGGAAGACTGACAGCCAATCTGCGACAGTAAGAAAAGATGTTGATTGTGCAGTGAACTACAGCAGAGAGAGCTCCTAAATATCATGTAGGCACTGAAAGATGGCAATAACACGAAGGGAACTTTTGACAACTCACTCATTTCAGTTATTTGAAATCTCTTTATCTTCAATGGTAAAGCAGGAGACTTATTTAATAACGCAATTTCTTGGACAATAGAAAGGAGGTAAAGGCTTGTCATAGACCAGTACATAACAAGACATTGTCATTCCATACTATGAGAATGAACTAAAAGTAATTGTCTGTACTGGAGGAAGCTCTTCAAAATTGTCGTGCTTTTCCTAATTGAAAGCTTTGTACCAGAGAGAACTGAATTTTGTTCAGTCCTGGCTAGCTCCTTCATGCAGAATCACTAAGCAAAGCCCTGTAAAGACAGTTTTGGGAATGTTAAGACAATTCATGTGCATTCTGGTATTTTAAACAAGTGCTGAAAAGTTATCTTGATATCATCACAATGGTGGCTGAACTTTTTTGCTACAGGCTTAGTGTAGTTGCAGCAGTCCAGCAATTACAAGAGGTTAAGTGGTTCTGATTATAAAGTTAGATAGGTCGGTTCTAAAGAACCAGATTAACTATACGGATCTTAGATTTGAGCACCATGCACAGTATCTAGCCACAAATTTTAACCCATGAAAGTACAAAAATCAGCCTGTGCACCCTCACCACTTTCATGTGGGATTCTGAGGGACAAAGACTTGACAGAGAGTTGTGACAATCCAAGCTACTATGCAGCATCACTACTATTGCTTTTGTGCATGTTTTTTTTTTTTTTTTTTTTTTTATTGTGTAAAATCATCATTTGAGTTTTTAGGTGGTTTTAAGACAAGTCTGTATGTAACAGAACCACCTAAAATATCTTAGTTTAGCTCTATCATTGTTTTAAAGACTAGTGTATCCTTGGTTCATTAAATAAATGCACTTGTCAAAGATGTTGTTGTGCAGAGTTAAAATATTCAGCAGGTCACAAGTATGGGAGAAAGGAAAAATCGGAGTCCCCAGTGGATTCAGATCGCAAGTTGGGAACTCAAATCATTTGGTTATAGAGTCCTAAAGTGTGACATCACAAAAAAATTAATTTGGGAAATTATGGGATTTGTGCTTCTCGAATAGAGCGTCCTTAAAAAAAGGGTCTTTGCCAAAAATTACCTCTCAATTGTAATTCCCAGCCAAAATATAAAGGATGAAAATTTGGTACTGCCCCATATAAATCTCTCTAATTTTGAGTCAGTTCTAAACTGAAGGAACTGAAACAAATTTTGAAGGGTTTGTACGGGTTGCTATCAAATGTTGATCCCTTATATCTCTATCAGGAATTGCAATTCAGAGCTAATTTTTGGGATGAGGGCATCTTTTAGGATCCTCTATAAGAATATGACATCATATCCC